TATTCGAAACAAGTCAATGAATTCAAATGTGCTTAATGAAAGCAATTAGAAATTAAAAATTATTAATGCGCAGTAGAGAGCCGCCAGTAACTCGAGTATAAATTCCTCAAGCCAGTTTTACGATGTCGAACAGTATTATTATTGATTATAATTAAACTGCGATCAACTAAAATGTAAATATTTGTACCAAGAGAATGTTGAGTAATGCGAAATTACATTGACAGACAGGCGCTCGAGCCCCTTTCTGCCGTAAAAAACAAACATTTTCTTTTATTTTTTGTTTTTTTTTTTTTGGTGACGAAGACGAGGGCGCGGCTGGCTTTGCTTCCGTGTCGCCTCGGCCTGATAGCGGCACTGAGAGAAAAAAAGGTGGCGTGTGATACCCACTTACTACTACGCAGTTTTGCCGGCACAACAAGTGGACTGACTGAGACTGAGAGTTGCATGCAAATAATAGAAATAAATACGCCAAATAGCTTGACAGAAACAGAGAGAGAGACGGAGGGGAGCAAGGTTAATGCTTATTTATAAACGAATATTATGCGCACGATCTTAGCGATTTTAGAGTGCTGATCTCGTTCTTGTTCTCGCTCTGCTCTGCTCTGCTCTCATTCCCATTCTCGTTGCGATTATTTGAAATTTGTTGGCCAAAAATTTCGATTGTTTCCAGTATTTGCACGTTTCACTTCCAACGCCAAACTGCCAAAACCAAGAGGCTATAGCTCTGATTTTATTTTGTTTTTAATAATAAAAATACAACTCAAGTGGCTGTTGTTTGTTATTGTTTTCGTTTTGCATTCAAAATGCACTTTACACCAAATAAAATGCGACGCGAAATAAGACACAAACAGGCCAACAGTGCGTATACTTAATGCGCTTCTAAACAAGCGTGAAAAGCGGGGAAAATGTGGGATAAATTCCTGATAAATATGAGGGGGAGAGCAACAAAGAAAAGAGAGGCAGCAGGAGACACTGTCAAGTGTCAAATTGATTACGCAACACTGTGCACATCTATATCGAAACGTTAATGAATGCCACTTCCCCCATTGCATATTTATATATTGCTTTAGAATTTATTTATTTAGAAAAAAAAACCCCCCAGTGCACATTGCACCCTTTGGCTTCCGCTTGGGACTACTTCTAGTGCATTCTTGGCAAGGCCATTGCCTTGATAAGACCTATTTTTTGATAAGGCCAAAGTTAACCAAAGGTTAAAAACTACTACGTTTTCCACTGCACTTACTGATATAATAATATTATTACACAATATGGCTTACGTACGTTATCTCTGATTACAAGCAATTGAATCAAATCGGGAATTTTCCACACAAAAAAAAAGAATGCCGACAAACAATCAAGTTAAATCTAGATAAAACTCTGAAAAGACTAGACTTAAGGGAGCTTAACTATATCTAAACATCAAAGGAACATTTTTATAGGGTAAAAACTAATAAATTAAATTGAGAAACTTGTAATATATACAACTAGGAATATGTTCAAGGCTTTTAAAAACGTTTTTCTACAAGTAATATTTATTTCCTTGCTGTTTAACTAATGCATTTTCCATTATATTTTCATTTTCTTTTTGTGTGATTTTCCTTCGTATTTAAATGTATTCCATAAATTCTAATCCTCACCAACTCTGATCTTTTCCGCTACATATCTTTTCCACGAAATCCCTCACGCCTTCCCCAATAATAAAATGAGGAAATGTACATATTCCCGGCCAGATCGTAAATAGTAGGAGATGCCACCTAAGAAGGCGTCATAAATTACAGAAATTTCCAAACATAATTGCCAAAGCGCGACGCTTCCACAGGCCGAAAGTGAAAAACCACGAAAATGTTGCAGCCAAAAAAATATTTATAACACGATGCGGTTCGCTGCCAATTAAAAAGAGGCAAAAATATAACAAAAAAAAAATACACAAAAAAAAACCTAAGCGCTCACACAAAAATAAATTGATAAAAGGAGCAAGGCAGCGGGGAAAAAATACTTGGCAGCAGTTCAATGGCCAAAAACCTGATGAGGATGATGATGAAGACACGAGCCACCACAGCCACCACTACCATCCGGAATCAGACAGCACTGAAAAAGAGGAAGCCTTTGCGGTGCAGTCGCCCAGAGTGGCAAAAATTTAAAATTCCACAAATGTCATTTGAGTGTTTCGCTCGTTTCGTTCTTTATTATTATTATTATGACGACGACGACGCGGAGGAAGGACAGGACAGGAAAAAAGGAAGCAAGTGTCAGGTGGAACGCGGCAACGGCAACAACGTGTTGCATAAATTAGGAAAATGTCATAAAACTTTATAAAGGAATGCGCAAAAGACACTCTTCCTTTCATAATGCCAAAGAATTGTAAAAATAGTTGAGTCTATTTTTATAAGGGAGTTCCTTAAAGGCAGATATTTTTATGGTAATCTTTTATTTTTTATCAAAAGAGGAAGCTGATATTCATGGGAATTTTATTAAATTTAATGATTAATAGAACTAGATTTAAGCTTAAACTCTTCATATCTGCTTTAAGTCAGGAGAAATTATAATTAAAAATGTAAAGAAAATTATTTATAAAATTATTAAGTTGGAGTTTAAACTTGAAAAGGAAAAACATAATGATTTTAAGCAAAATTAAGAAGCTTAAATAAAAGTTCATAAATTAAACCTCAAGAAAAATCTCAAAAAATATTTCAGAAATTTCTACCTCTAAATTTAAGACACCACAACAATGACAAATTTAATTTTCTTCTTAAAAATTCCTTTACCTTTACAAATTGAATTTTCTCCTTAAAAATACCTTTACCTTATCAGCAACCCCCCCGTCAAAATAAAACCAAATAACACTCATTAATTACTCCTAAAAATCCCTGCAATAATTGCAGCTTTTGTTTACATTTTTCGCATTCTTGGAAAGCCTCTCTAGGCCTCAACTAACCTCTTTCTGCGACGCGCGAATAAATTTTCTTTATCACGGTGATGAGTGTTATTTCCACTACGTAATCTCTAAAAAACCCAGGCAAAGCGTCGTCGACCCCGACTACTTCCGTGAAAAATGCGACTATAAACAATACACTAATATAAATAATGCAATACTAGTTGACAAAAAAACAATAATAAACCGAAAATTCTGTGGAAGCGCGCTGTCTGCGCAAAAAAAATAAAGTTTCGGGTATCAATCGTCTTCAATTTCTTCGCAGCAAACTCAGCAAATTCTTTGGCTTTTTTGTTGGTCTTTTAAGCACCTCAAGTCAAGGGGTGCTTGTGCTTTCTATGCATTGAATTATCAGCGAATTTGATAAAGAAAATAATCACGTGAATGACGCACTGTGCTAACCAAGAAATATGAGTGGATCGAATGATTTATGGCTGAGCAGAGATCACGTATCCCGTAGAGGATCGATCACAGGAAGTTCTAAGAAATATAAACAAAAATCAAAACCCTAAATGCAACCTGAAATATAAATAAATTCTACTTTGATTCAGTAAAAGGCACAAGTGTGTACAGTGTTTACCCATTTGTGGTTAATGTCAATGAACTCTACAGGCTTTTATTGATAATTTTGCAAAAAAAAAGAACCTAAAAAAAAGGTTTTATAGTATAAACAAGTGAAATACATGGATTTCGTCTATGTAAGCAAATGTTATCAGTATAAAAAAAAAAAAAAAAAGGAGGAAGGTGAACAAAATTCACAATATAAAATAAAGAGAAGCGGTAGTATATTATTTTCAAAATAAATAAATAAATCAAATATATATAAGATTTACAGGTGGGAAATACATAAAAAGTTTTACAAATAATTTAAATGGTACTAAATCTTAAATAACTGTCAAAACGGAGTTTAAAAAAATCTTAAAAAATAAATAAAGATTTAAACAAACAAGTTTTATTACCAACTTAATTTTATCATTAAATCACTTAAAATTTTGCAATATCTTTATTTAGTTTCTATCTCTCAATTGTATTTCCTTAAAAAATCACCTAAACCCATAGAAAATTTACAACAGAAAAGGAAAAGTTAGACTAACCACTAAAGGGGAACCGGTATCTGAATATGAATGAAAATGAAATTGAAGCATGATTTACGCATTTAGCCCCTGCATGTGTGCATGCGTCTATTTATTTATTTATTTACGTATGCTTGGATGTAAACAAAAGCGAAAAACGATCCGAAGATAAAGCGCATTAATTGCAAAAAACTCTGCAAAAAAAACAAAATGGAAATCCGGTCAAGATAGCAAGGGGGAAAAGTGATGCCGGCGATGACAAACATTTCACACACGTAACAAATGGAAAAAAAAGAAAAATAAAATAAAAAAAAAACATATATATACTCCAACTGAACTGTTGATTGCATAATATAAAAGTCGAAAAGCAGACCACAAAACGCTGAAATATGAAAGCCAAACAACGCTCCAGCGGCTCCGCTTTGTAGAGCTCCACTCTCACTCCATTTGACTTGACTTGACTGAGTTGGCCCTGAACTTGACCGTTTTGCCCGGCGAAATGCGAATTGCGAATGAATTTGCCATTTGAAAGCCAAAGAGCGTTGTGGGAATAAAAAAAAGATACAAAGTTGAAAGAAAGACAATATAAACAAGACAAAGTAAACTGTAGAGTTTGGGGAAAAGATTTACTGAAGTAAGTTGATAAAGAGAGTGTTAAGTTAGGCTAAGGTTTTTATTTTATAAGATTTTTGTTTGCTGCTTGTTTTTAACACTATAAAAATTTAGTTAGCTTGGCCTTAAAATTTATAAAAATATCTACACTATCTAAAACTCATTTTATTTTGTTTTTACAATTTTTAACACATTTTAAAGGCTATAAAAGGACCTTTAAGAAATAGAAACTTCTTATAAAAACGTTTCTTTTATCAAATAAACCCTTTTTAAAAATGTATCTAAAGATATTTAGTTAAAGAAACCAATACAAACCCTCTAAAAAATCTTTAAGATAAACTCTCCCCATTTCTTCAACAAATATTTTTAAAAGAAAATCCTACCTTCCATCCAGCACTGCTATTCGAATCGCCCTTGTCCTTGAAGTATGGCACATTCTGGACCATCCACTCGTAGATCTGGCTCAGAGTCAGTCGTTTGTCGGTGGCCGAGCCAATGGCATGCGTGATGAGATCCGCGTAGGAGAGATTACCCCAAGCATTGCGACGCGATGAGTTCTTTTTGGCCGCATTCGCGTTCTGTATAGCCTGCTGTGAGTCTGTCAAAAAATAAAACCCCAATTTTAAATACCATAATATATATATTATATCATCTTTCGATTTTTACCTCCGGCAGCCAATTGCTGATTACTGGCCTTTGTGCTATCCAGCTCATCGACGGGCTCCACAAAGTTCTCTGGACGTGGACAGGGCCATGTGTTGGATCTGGCGCGAGTTTGTGGCTCAAAACCCACATCACCGGGTAAATCGCCCACTCCTACGCCACCGACCACGCCCACCCCCAGCTGATCCATGGCCGAACCCAGGCCATTGTCTGTGTGGGTCAGCGTGGGCCAGTCCTGGGCAAAGCCGTCCATCATCGGGTAGAGCAGGTCGTTGTGCAGTTGCAGCGTTGCGGCTTTGGTGGCTCCTCAAAATCAAGCTCAAAGCTAGCTCAAGCTCTCCTCCAGCCAGCCTCAGAAAATGTCGAAGCAGTCGCAGATATATTGCGATTAGTTCTTTATCCTGAAAAGGACATGAATTGGGGAAAGAATTATTAATCAGGAAATATATACAATCTAATTTAAGGATTTTTTTTCTATATTTATATAAAGGTTAAAGGTTAACCCTGAAATAATTTATTTGGAAAATATTTCAACAAAATGTGTATACTTTTTTAAACCTCAGCTATTTTTTGGTAATTTATTTGGAAATATATAAAAACATTAACCTTATATAAATCTTTTTTTAGTGCAAAATCATTATAAGAGAGATTGATTCACCTTGAATTGAAATTGCTATAAAGCTATCTACGAATGTGTCAAGTCATCATATCATCTTCCTGCTAAGCATTTTATTTAAAAATTACATTTTGATTGTTTTCGTGCGCTTGAAAATGTGAAAAAACGATTTTCAAACGATCTTCAAGCATTCAAACTAATTGACATTTTCGATTTTCAATTGATCACGTGTTCGTAGGAAAGAGAGAGAGAGAGTAGTATCTTTAAATCGTTTTAAATTTTCCAGCTTTTCAAATTTATTCAGTTATTCTGGGCTGTGAGTACTAATAGTTCGATAACAATGATTTATAGCTTGATTGTAAAGCTTTTTTATTTATATAGTTTTGCGAGTGCCTAGGTACTTGGTAAGTAATCAAATCAATAAATGCGACAAGAGTACACTTATAAAAAATGTTTACCTAAAATCGACTTAAAAAGGCAAAGGATTTTCTGGATTTAAGAATAAATTGATTTACTTTTAGGGTAGGAAGTATGTAGAAAAACAACAGTAAAACATTCACATGTGCTTGCACTTGATGCCATGGATGTTAGAACCAGTTGGGAATTATAAACTTACACAAGTACGACTTTTCTATGGTTCTTTCTTAATTCTAAACCGATTTTCTTAGTTCTAGAGCAATTTTTCGGAAATATAAGAAAATATCTTCATGAGTGTAATATTTGAATTGCATAATTTCTGGAAATTTAAGTTTACCTATTTTTCCATAAAAAAAATAAACTACAGATATCTAAAATTAAAAATTCTCTTTAAAATAGCTAAGAGAGAGCGGTGTTATCAGACAAAGAGCTCCGACTGCCACAATGTAGGTTATGATCTTGTTTCAGATTGCCTTAGCGCCCATTTTCTTGGCATTCCAATGGGGCTCTCGGCGTAGTAGCTCACGGAATGGAAATCAATTAGTTTTAATAAAATCTATAAATGCCTTTATGACTAAATTTAGCACACAGTTGGAATGGAAACGATTTAAATTAGCGGACTGGCGGCGGAGAGTTATCAATATATGCCCCAATAATAATGGGGCGATAGTATAAGGTGTTTTTTTTTTGGGTAATCAAAATGCCATTTAAATACACTGAAAAACGTGATCAATTCTCTCAGTTTCTCTCTCATTCACTGAGAGATTCTGTTTGTGAGTCTTTAATAATATAAAAGGTATATTGACTTTGTCTGGAATGGAACAAAACCCAGCTGATAAGTCAACGAAGCCTGACGGGCATCGCTCGAACTCTCTTGATAGCACAAGGCAATGTCTGGTGCAATTTTTAACCGAAAAATGGGTATATAAAAATATATAGAGCGTCCTTATCAATGAGCTTTTGATTGCATTAACATTTAGGTGAGAATTTACAGCAGTTTCAGTCTGCAGAAATGCGATTATTCTATTAAAAAACGGTATCTTTATGCCAGAATGATTGATAAGTATTATTTCTAAAAATTTTAAGTATTATTTATTACCTCTAGATAGAAATTATAGTATGTTGAAATGTTTAATACTTATTTCTGTGTATTTTTAACGTAATTTTAGATTTTTTAAGAAGAGTTTTGGGGCTTAAATCTAGCAAAAATATTGTCTTACATACTAAAATAAACAGTAAATGTTGCTAAAATATATACATAAATTCCCAGCTAATATTTCTTTAAAAAGTTTTAAAAAACCTTTATAAAATCTCCATAACACAATTCACATGTAGCAATGTTTCAAAATTTGTGCTCCAAAAAATAACCAAAATTAAAAGAGAAACCCAAAGCTTTTGGATTCAAAAATAAGAGAATCACTCTCATCTCTCTTAATCTTTAAAAATTGTAAACAAATTGAAAAGTGTGCGTAGAGCGCGTAACTCAATTAAAAATCAACTCACACACACTGTGACAAAGTCCAAACGAGAAGTATCTGTGTGAGTGTGTGGATCGTTGCAGAGGTATTTTTTTTATTAAGCTTTTTTTTATAACAGAGAAAAGAGAGAGGGGAATAAATAGGAGAAAGAGACACACCAAACGACAGCGACAGCGACAGCTCGAACGACATCGAAGAATTTACCTTGAGAACACGGAAGTTCATTCATTTGCTACCTAAAACACACTTTTCTACCTGAGAGCATACCGATCATCGCCTCATTATTTCGTCGTTCTCTGACTTAAAAAAAATGTATAAAAACTTTGGATCTCCTCATATTTTTGAGTGTGTGTGCCTGTGTGTTTTTGTGCTTGTATTTAAATGCAAAATTATTTAGATAAGGTCGCGCACGTCGGCGTTGTCATTACATAATATCTTCCTAGCGAAAGGTTTATGGCCGCAAATAATGGCAAATGCGAATGAGTCGCAACTCAAGTGCCCCCAGGAAAAAAAAATTAAAATAAAAAAAACCCCGGACCGAAACATTCCAACCTGACCTAAGCCACTAACAACAACAAAATCAAAGCGAAAAATAATGAGGCTGCCGAAAATATAAAAAAAAAGACCCAGGAATACCCTATCGTAGAGCTTAGACTGATCGAATAAGATATTCCCTGTGGTTTTGGGGTTTTTTCCAGTGAAATTCCAAGCTTCTTTTTGGGTCACAACTGCGAGTTACAAGATTATCTTTACTTTCTTTCTGTTCAGTTTGGATTTTACTTTTGGCTTTGGGTCTTTTTTTATATTTAAAGATTTATGTAAACTTTGTGTAATACATTTAAAAAAATATATATTAAAAAACCATAAGAACAGAGAGTTTTGAATACATTTAGTCTTTTTTAATATTTTTCATCCCATAGGTTATTGGTATTTAACACAAGCTTGTTTTTTAATAAACGTATCACACAATTCTGGTTTAATTTTTGAGATATATTATCTACCATATTTAACCATAATGTTTATAAATATACTTCTCGAAATTCGTTGTTTTTTTTATTTAAAAACAAACATTGAAACACCCTCTCCTAATTACTGGGTACCAAAACAGTCCAGAGTTCGTCTGCCTCTAAAAATAGTGTAAAAATTCTAATTGCCGCCTCTCAATTGCCGGCTGCCAACTATTTTGAGTAAAATTAACATGAGCATTTGCTATTTTGCATTTTGCACTTAAATATATAATCTATTTCTTTACTTTCAACCGAAACAGAGAGAGACAGAGTGAAAGAGGGAGGGCCAGAAATTGCGTCGCGCAGTCGGGACAGTCAGACTTTTGAAACATTAAATAATAAATAAACAGTAACATTTGATAATAACATTCAACAAAAACACGTCATTATATGAAAATAGAAGCAAAACAAAAAAAAAAAGGCATAGAAAATGTAAACAATAACAAGACAATTCCTCTCAAAATATGGGTTGGGAATTAATTTGCCCGATTTGCTGCGTCACAGGGTATTTACTATATAAGATCAGATCAGATCGGATCGGATCATTTAAGTGGGGGCTTGAGCTTATTGTTAACGACAGGTTCTTAACAAACATGTATGAATTTATTATTATTTTTTTTTTATTACATTAGATTAGAAGACAACTGGCGACCTGGTGACGCTTATTTGCGTAGGTGTTTTTTTCTCTTTGATCGCGAGAGATCAGACCTAAATGGTGTTAGATTATGTTAATTGGGATAATACCGAGTAACAGAAAATTCCATCATCAAACATTTCTAAACAACGCAAAAAGTTATAACATTGTGAGTGTTATCACCACGAAAATTTATAAAATGATTCAGATCCAGATTCCTATTTGTTTGGCAAAACATATTGTATACTATTAATTCACCTTTAAAGCACCCGGCGTGGGATGATGGAGAAATTGGCATTGAAAAATCACCATCCCCGAAATATTCTCTGTTTTCGAGCATTACACAATTGGGGGCTAGAGGCGTGAGAAGTGGATATCTTTGGAGGTTTGTAGTCGAGAATTCCGAGTATTTCAATGTCACGAACAGAACTGAGTTCCATTAGGTGGAAATCTTCAGGTGGTGGTCACCACCCTCAGAGGGGGCGTGACTACTAAATGGGGCAGCCAGCATGATGAGCATGATGAGAAATTTCTAAAACTAGACGTGGGAGACCTCAGAAAGCATCTGAAAACATATAGAGAGAGAGATGTGGGAACGAAAAGCGAGTGCAAAAAACAAAGAAAAGCAAAAACAGATCTTAAATAATAATAAAAAGCAAAACAAGCAAGAGTCCAAAGCAAAGCAAACTAAATAAAGACGGCAATAAAAAATATATAATAAAAAATTAAAAACAGAATCAGTACAAAGAAAGCAAGGAACGAGCGATGAAAACGAAACGAAGAAAGATCAACAGAGCGAACAAAACAAAAATAAACCCCACTCTCGTTACGTAATTTTCCTTTCAATAGTTCGCCCGCCCGACTTTTCTCATGAGTTTCGTTCTGTTTCGTTTCGGTTTCCAATACGTATGCGTATTATTTTCCCTCCCCACTCGGGGGCTATCAGTTCGTCTTAGGAGGGTACCCGGTACTCCAAGTACCAAGCACCAAGTACTCCCTACTCGGTACCGAAACTAATCCTAGCTGAGGCCACCTTCTCATGGAGCAGCTGTTCCAGTGGAGAGTCGGCCTCGAAGATTAAGTGATAAGCCAAGAGGTAGCTACTAGCTCCAGGGGCGGGGCTAAGAAAATATATAAACTCAACAGGGGAGAGATCACATTAAAAGGCAATTAAAATGAGACTATTACTTGTAATTAATGAAGATTACATTTAAATTATTCACTTTTCTTAGACTTAACTTCCGGTTAGCAGATTAGAGTTGATACATTAAAATTAATATTTGAGCAAATGATTAAATTGTTAAATGGTTCAAATCAATCTCCTTTTGCCTACGACCCTGTCGATTTCTTAGCTTATCAGTGTTAAAGCGACCCAGGAGATCGCTGCAAAAGCCGGGGCCACAAAAGTATCTGCCAGATGCTTTTTTGGATCCGGCGCAAAACCATGTGATTTTTTTTATGCATGAGACTGTTACTCTCTGCCCCTGAATCTCAGGTATTGTACCCCTTCTCTGCTCCCGGCCACGCCGCACACATGACCGACCGGGTTCAGCAATGTGGAAGTAAAAGAGATCCACTACCCGCCACAACCCGTCAAACAGGATTATATATGTAGTAAAAGGCGGAGCAGACTGGAAGCAAAGCAAAGTAAGTCAGTGCTGAGAGAAGGCCTGCCCGAAATTAAAAAAAAAAAGTTAAAAAAAATGGAAAATGAGGAAAAAGAAACCCAAAACAGTGAAAATAAAAAGCAAGACTGACAGCTGGACGTCGGTGAGTTTAAGAGTCGAGTCGAGTCCGGGAGATACAGCAACTGGTATGGTCTGCACCGATCTGGTCCGGTCTGCCCTGCCTAATGAGCTGGAGATGGAGGTGGATTCACAGATGGAGATGGAGGGATGTAGACGAAGACAACGACGACATCAATCCCGATTCCGAGCCCTTGTTCGGTTTTGCTTTCAGGCCCAAGCTCAAGTACCTCGCGACCCATTATGACGATAATGATAATCATCATTATGCTGACGGTGACGAGGCCACATCGAACCCACTTGTCGGGTATTCATATTGGGGATCCGTTCCGAGAGTGTGTGTGTGTGTGCGAGTGTGCTTTGTCACCCTCCATAAAACCGAACCGAACGACCTTTGGTTTGAAAGTGAATTATACCACCGAACAATATAAACTCAGTCATGGCTTAACCTGCTGATAACAAACTTCTATATTTAGCTCAATAAGGGCCCTTTTTTTAGACTCTAATTAAGTTTTGGGGGTTCGCGTTGAGCTGGGAAAGGGAAATCAACCTAATTATTAACTCTATAATTTAATTAATTAGAAATATTAACAAGAAAATACTAAAGGGGTTTTTGCTTGTAGGTTAATAATTCTCTTGTTAACTTCCAGTTAAGTTCGTGTTAAGTTTAGGTTTTGGCTTTCATATTGAGTTAGGAAAAAGATTATACAAATTATGAACACTGTTTTATAACATGTAATTAAGAAGTAATATTAAAAAAAAATCCTTAAGGATTAATCTGCTGGTTAATATTTCTCATGTTAAGGTTCAGTTAAGTTCATGTTACATTGGCAAGGTTAATCTACATTTAAACTATTTTCAAACTGTTAAACAATTAACTTTAAATGATTTTGTAGCGTTTTGTTATTATTTCGTAAACTATAATCAAAACTAGATGTCAATGTCCTAACATTTGGTTTATTACCTGCTCTTTTTAATAGCAATCAATAATTATAAACAAATATAATAAACAATTTATATTATGCAGACTTTAAATAACTAGGCTAATATGATCTTTATTAATATAATTGCTTAGTTTTTAAAAAACAATGTAGGTTTTATATTAAATCCATTTACATATATCATAAAATCAAGTCAAAATCCTCTTGATGAAGAAAATTTAATTAGAATTCTCTTCGCTTTGATGAGAATTTCCAGCAATGTCACTCAACCGGTGAACTCTCTGTAATTCCCTTTTAATTCCCACTGGACACTAGGCGCTATCCTCCAGTTTTCCCTGCCAAGTCCCTGCTCTTGTGTGTATTGTTATCAACAAGCCGCCAAGAGATAAAGCGGAGATAAAGCCGTGTAGCGAAAGCAATGCTTATATAGTGTATTTTTGTATGCATTCCCGCCACAGAAAAAGAAAAACTGTTGTCATGTGGCTGTCTCTGTCTCCGTTTCTTGCTCACACTTATTCACTTGCTGGCCATGTTATCTATGTGTCTCTTTCCCGGTCAGCTTATCGCAAGACCCCGCAGTCCCCAACTCAGGCCCAACCCTACTACCAACACCCACATTCATGACCGCCTTAACCCCTTGACAATGCCAAACATAAACCTTGGACAACAAATCTTTTTTTGCGACACTTTCAATCTGCGCTCTTCTTTACAACATTCTTTTGTGGGGTTTTTTTGCAGTATATTTTAATGGTGGGTTAAAAAATAAGGTTTTTAGGATATATAATAATAATATTAATAGATATTCATCGAAATAAAATCAAAATTGGAAGAAAAAAAGAAAGACAAAGGGATATATACATAGATACCTGTATTAAAAGAATCTAAAGTGTAAAATATCATTGAAATAAAGTTTCTTTTAATAGTATTCTGATTTTATTTAAACTATATGCAAACAGAGTTCATTGAATATTTAATTTCTCCAACTAAACAAAGTATAAATCTCTTAAGCAACATTTATGCATTCATATTAAGTACCTTTTATGACATTAATAGTGGGTGTAAATAAACATTTAGGTTTTTGTTTTCTAAGCCAAGTGTAAAGCTGATTTGCATGATTTACTCATTAGTTTTCATTAGAAAATCCACAAGGGGAGAATGCCAACTGTCCAGTGAATTGCATTCTGGTTTTTTCTACGCTGTATAATATTTAATAATTTATTAAGTCAATTATCGCGGAAGCTTATTCAAATAAAAGCTTATTGAAAGTGCAGTTATCTATCTCTATTTTACACATTGCGAAAAGCGGTGGCACGTGCACCGGCGAGAGGAACACGCGCTACTTGAGAATAGAAGAGAGAGCAGCGCCGCAGTGTTCAATATATAGTTCAGTTTCAGAGTAAATCAAAATCGAAATCGAAATCGAAATCAGCTAAGGAATGCAGCAGAAATGCAAATGCAGAGCGCAAAAAAAAAAAGCAATGTCTATATAGAGAATTCATTAAAATAATTTAAAGAGAACGGGGCAAAAGGAAAAGTCAACCAAGAACGTAACCCTCAGCCATCCATCCAACGACAATTGACAGCTCAGCTGAGCCCGAGACAGAGACTGAGACTGAGAGGCTTGGGGAAACTTTGACGCATGGAAAACTTTGATGCGATCATCCGACTTAATCATCATCCGCAATCCCATAATCCCTCAATCCTCTATCAATCACTAACGCACTTGATTGGCATTAACTACAATAAACGTTTATGGGGTAAACATAGCTTGATAGGAAATAACAATAACTCTAGTAAAAATCTTTTACTGGCAAATGATTAAAACCTTTTACTGATAGATTCTTCACTAAACCAATTACCAAATAATATACTAATTAACCTAAAATTCCACTTTATAAACTCTTTTCTACTTCCTTTCCTGGTTTCTGCTCTCCAATTACAGCTTTTTCGACAAACTTTTTGCACACTTGGCCTGTTATCACCTGGCGGCACGTTCCACCAAACACTCAAGATATGATAAAAGTCCCAAATTATATATACACACAACACTATATACTCTGGGCCATCAGCTGCTGCTGTACCTTGGCACATTGCGGATAGATAAAACCCTATCTGCGTAGGCCTCTAGTGGCAACCAACCAACCGGAGCTACGAAAAACTAAAACCTAATCTCGTTTCAATGTCAATATTGATGTCGAAAAAATAACGTTGAAATTATTTTAAAATATATAGTGCGAGTATACAAATCGCAAGTAATATAGCAACAAAATCGGCCTTCATGGGTCCAATATAAAAAATAATATTAAATCGAGGAGAAGCAAAAACAGAAAGAAATGAGCAGCGGGCGACACACGCTCCTCCGCGCGGTGCTATCAGTGTGGCGCTGGGTTCCAATTCTATTTTTAGTGCCATTATCAGCAGTGCTCTAATTAAGATCTCCCCCAGGCCCCCCCTCTCTCACTCTGTTTCCCTCTCTTTTGAATAACTAACACCCCAAAACGGACTAATCAAAGCCCCGCACGAACCAGAGAGAGAGAGAGATCATCTATTAGGTGAGCATGGAACGTGACCGGGTTTTGGATTTAGCATTGTTATAGCTTTAGCTTTTGGGTTTTTAGTTCCGTTTGTGCATTTTGATCTTGAAAGTGAATTGATTGTAAATCACTTTGGGACACTAACGGTTTTGGCTTTTATTTTCAAATATTTTTAAAGTAGAGTAGAATTTTGGGTATTTTTAGAGGCTTATTATTCTGGGGAGGTAATTGATCGACACATAATTGATCCTTGATTGTAAGAGTTATGTTTTCTTCTGTTTTAAAAACTTGGAAACTATCTAATCTTAAGAAACAATCACAGTAAATAAATTATGGAACAGTTCCTGATTCGAATAACTTATTATTTATTATTATTATTATTTTTTTTAAATAGTTATTTACCCGCCAAAAGTTGCCGCAGGGGAGTTTGCTCGTTAAGTTGCTTGCTAAATCGCTGCTCCTTGGTGTTGACTGCGATTATATAGTTTTCTGTTGATTTTGTGGATTTGCTGATCTGCGTTTTTAGTTGCTTTTTAAATTGGCACTGTTTTACTTTATTTTTCTTGTTAGTTTGCACTGTTGTTTGTTTTTTATGCGGTAATTTGTGTTGTTGTTTTGAGCAAAACTTGTGCGGTTTTTTCTTTATTTTTTTTTTAAATTTTATTACGGGATTTGCGTATTATTTCTTTTAGATTTTAGATTTCTTCGGGCATAATTTCTTGCTCACACACACAAACACTTTTGGGATTACTGAACAATTTTTTGCGGCGTTTTGCTTAAGCTGCGTATATGTATAAAAAATAATATATATTATAAATGGGTGTAAATTACGACAAGAATAACAATAAAACACAATAAAAAAGCACAACAAAAGAGAGATAGAGAGCGGCGAACACGCGGCCGGAACACCAAAGAGAGCGGCGATGGCGCAATAGTGTGCGTGCGAAGAGAAAGAGAACCAAACACACCGATCACGTCATCAATTCATGCCAATTGGACGCACACACTACACTTAATTGGAATTCGTATGAGAATTCAATGAAAAGACCGAGCGGCGCGAAGCGGGGCGCGACGTCCAAAAGTTGTTTAAAGTTCAAATGGGGAACACAAATTTTAATATAAACACGTTTCCGAAGCTTACTCCAATTCGAATCAAAAAACCGTATTCGTATTCGTATATTCGCTATATGCGAGTGTGTGCGAGTGTATGTGTTATATAGGGCTATGTGTGTGTGTGTATGTGTGTGTATACAACGTGACTGAAACGAAGATCATCCAAGCATCGCTATGTATTTTCTTCGTTATTTCGGTGTGCCTGCTCTTTTCGCCTATTTATTGCTGATATTTTGATACGACGAAACGCGGCCTCTGCTTCTTTTCTACGTTCTATTTTTCTCAGCTTCTTTCACTTGTTTTTGTTTTCCTTTTATTTTATTTTTTTTATTTTTGAGGGCGTTTTAAACAAACTAGAGATTTTCGTGCGATCAACGAAAGTGTTTCAAAACGTAAAAACGCTGGCTGTAAACGTGAAACTGTGAAACGGAATAAATTGAACGACCTCGTGGCTTTCAACCGCAAGCGAAGAGACACGGACTTGCTCGAAACTTTCTAGTTGGATTCGAACTGACAACTGATTCGTCGTTCGTCCGTCGCCTTCGTAAGCGTTCGTTTTGCTTTACGTCGCGTAAGCTTTCGTTTTGCTTTACGTCGTTGCTTCGTTCGGTTTTTGTGGCGCAAAAAGGCGGTCGTGTCGTGTGTGCGAGCGAGAGAGTGCTCTATACAAGGAAAAAAAAAAACAACAACCCTCTCTCTCTCTCTCTTGGCTTCCACACACGCGTTCCACACAGAGCGCGCTCATTTCACGTTACGTTTTTTATTTGTGTTTTTGTGGCGCTCTTGCTCTCACACACACACACATACAGCTGCGGTCAAAATAGTAAAACTTTTATTTTATTTATTTTTTATTTACTGGAACCAGAAATGGAAAAGAAGAATGCGAATTGAAATGACATTAAAACGGAGAATATTGTGAACCTGTTAAATGCCCTTGCTTTTAAGAAATATTTGAAGTTCCTAAACAGGGTATATTTTAAAAGTTGTAGATTTAATTATTTTTAATTAATAAATTTAATTCTGTAGTAGAATTGATTTTATTTTAAATGGAACAAATATTAAAATTTTTAATGGGTTTTTTAATTCTAAGAGGTATTTCTTAATATTTAAGATTCCTATAAAATGTCTGGTAAGCTAAGCTTCTATATATTTTGTCCTATTTTTTTAACATTTTGTTAAATATTAGAAATAAATAAAAAATAAGAGTATTACATTTTTTACTTGTTTTCTTTCCTCTTACTCTTTTGACCGCATCTGGGCCCCGTTCAGTATCAATAAATAAAAGCCATAGTTTACCTATTTTATACATTTGGAATTTAAATTGTTTCTTTTTCGCTGTCGACTCTCGAGGTTCCATAGCGCAAGGAGAGGTGTTGTTGGATGGGGTGGAGTGGGGTTGCGGGGCTGATAAGAACGTAGAGGCAGCTGTTATCTCACAATTGCCTCGCTCGCTCTACCTCTCTCTCGCTCTCCAGCTGGTACATTCCGTTCATTGTCTCGTGATGCGATGGAAAATTTCCCAAAATTGCATTCAACTGATAATGCCAGCACTGCACATTTTGTGCATATAAATATATGAGTTTAAAAAATGCGAGCGTCCATATATCAGTGAGCTTTTTTGGGTCCAAGTGCCCCCCAAAAATAATACCCCGGCGTTACCAGTTTTTAGCTAGAGTGTCTAGAGTCTAGACCCGATATATATACACAGAAAATATGTGTGGTATGTATGCCTCCGAGTATCGGTGTTTTTTTAAGTGCCTGTCACATAAATTCCGCAACATTACATGGCTAATGAAGTCTAGACGCTGAGTTTATGTTTATGGATCTGTTCGGACTTACTCTCAGCCCGCTGCTATCGTATCCTATCCTATCTTATGCGATGCGTTGCGATTTCGATGAGAACAAGCAGACGACTTAGAATTGTGGGAATTCAGGCTACGCACCTGTCAGGGAAACTATAGAAAATAAGAGTCTTGGTCGGTTTTAATTGGGTCACTATCATAAAAAATGTATTTTTAAAGAATAACGTAATTAAATACATTTTACAGTGGTTTTTCAAGTGATATATTTATGACATTTATGATGTATTTGAAAATAAAATAAAAAACTTAAATGGAAAATTAAAACACAACACTGGAAATTAAACACAACAAAATTCTTTACACAAATAAATTTAGTCTTTATAAGATTTATTCAAATTATCCAAATGGGTTATTTAAAGAAATATCTAGGGGTTTAACATACAGTAAAAAGTATCTCTAAAAGTATCTTACAGATTTTGTATTGTTACGTATTGCATTAAGTGTGTTTCCAACTGAGATTCTTCAGAGATTATCTTTTTGTTTGGTAAACCGTATTCCATTCCATATATTTTCATAAATTTCAGATGATTTTAATACGTTCTAAGACCCAGTAGTTTAGTGTCTTCTCTAAAGCCACTCGAAATAATAAAAAAAAACCATTTGTAGACACAGGGATTATAAAAACTCGTGAACAACACCAAGATAGGGAGGGATACTTTGGTTGTATTTTACAATGTTATGAAGTTGGCTCTGGTTTGATAAGTAACACATTGGTATAGGTAAGTTCCATCTGCGACTGATGACAGGTATATAAAATTCGGTGGTAATTGGTTTATCGAATAAAGACTTTGGGATTATTAGAAACACTCCCACTTGGCTGACAAATTCCATTGACATTACACAAACACTTTTTCAAGTAAAGCCAGTCTAGACCTGGCCATAAGTAAAAATTTATAAACAAAAATTGTTTGAAATAAAAGTGGTACATTTGCGTTGGCGCGTGTCGACGTCTCGTAATCGCATCCAAATTGGCCAAAACTGGACACGCAAGGCACTGGCTCAGGTTTCAAACTGCGCGCCAAATAACAAATCTTTGGTTCATGTCTGGGAGCTTTTTGGGGGAGAGTCCTCCTTTGCCTATTCCCCATTACCGAGTTGCTGCTGCTGCTGTTCCTCCAGTGACGCACTCCCAGGCCGGTTATTTGGATACTTTGGACACCCATTCCGGTCAAGTTTCGCGCCTTGTCAACCTCCAAAAAAAAGTGCCTAAAATCTGGTGGCTACGTCAGCAAACGACGACGTAGTAGAACCAGAGAGTGGGGCTTAAAAACGGATAAATAGGAGAGAGATACTCTTTCTAGGGAGGCTGAGGAAATTATAATTTAATTTTAACATATTTTTATTTTTATACTACTTAAATTTTAACTTTCACTTCACATTTCGATAAATATTCCAGCTCTTCTCTAAGAAGGTTACTTGTAGTATCACGTATACGACTAGTTGTACCACTCTGCCTTTTATAAAAGTCCTTAACAGTTTATACTAAATAATACAAAAAAATCGAAAAAAAATTGTATGGAAAGTATTATAAATTCCTTTTTATATATGTACTTGTATTACTCTAACTCCGTCATAGGGCATTATAAACATTACCGCGACGCGGCGGCGCAATTGGCATTAGACCCTCCGAACCGAAGCCAAGCGATCCGAATCGCGCCAAGCGGCTGGCTCCGATGGCCTTCAAAAAATTATAATTTCTGCTTTAATGTCTCGACCGATCTGGTGGATGAACCGGCGGGGCGGAGGTCTGGTCTCTGAGCTCTGAGCTCTGAAACTCGGGCTCCAGTTGTTGGCTCCTCGCCCGATGTTTACCCGCCAAAATTGGCTCGGTGTGCGTGTGTGTGTATGAGCTTCTCAAGTATGGAAATTTGAATATTGTTAGTAACAATTTGTTAACTCAACAGTTTATAGAGAGAGAAAAAGAGAGTCTCTGATACAAGGGAGAATGAAACACGATTGTTTTCCTAACTTGTTTGCAGCAATAATTGGAATCCAGATTCCTAATTGGTTTGGACCTTGTTTATGATTTGCAATAAATAGGAGTTTGACGATTTATTTACTGGGTTTTATTGCTTAGATCTTTAGAATGTTCAATAAATGAGTTAAGATTCATTTCTAAATAACAGGTATAATATATACTTGATCTAGAGAGAGAACATATAGACTGGGTTTAAAGACTTTTATTTTAGAAAGTTATGGAAACATATGTTAGTTATGTGACAATATTTGAATTTGTTTAATGAGAATTCTAAATTTTTATTGGGACTAAGATTTTGATTACCATTCTAAAATATTCCAAAAACTATTTAAACCCCTTCTTTATCTAATTTGTGGCACATTTGTACATATTTTCCCATTAGTTACCTTATCACCATATCTTAATTATCGTAATTCCCTTGAGACCTTTTCGAAAGGTGACTTTATATTGGAAACTCCCCATTATAATCGCTTGATCAACTGTGGCTGAAACGGTATTTGCAGGCGCTACTACGTTGAGGAAAACGAGATTTCGTGACGTCGGTGTCACGTCGAACTCGAAGTCGAATGTCGACTTGTGATGGGCGCGCTATCATATCGAGATTTTTAAGACCCACTCACCGCACCACCAACACAGCACAGTCGTCGCCCCGCGGAATTATGCTCGTACCGCGAGCATGTGTTTGTCGAAAGCGAGCCCCCCTAATGTGGCCACATGGAATTCTTGGGACAGAGGCGTAGCCAGGAACTAGGAAACTAGAGGATTTATAATTTGAAACTATGTAAATTATTATTTAAACAAAAAGGTCATAGGTGTTTCGGCAATCTACTTAGTTTCTAAATTTTAAAGGTATCATTTGTTTTATTTATTTTATGCTAAATATAAAGAAAGTTTCCAAAAGTATTGCTTGAATGCAAAAGATCCGCTAAGCCCCCTCTATGCGAGCCCCTGTCTTCATTTAGTGTCGTAGTGCTGGACCCATTTGCGATCCAATAACTGTACCGGTTCGGTGTGTTTTCACCGCCCCCCGTTGCCCCCCTCCCCGTTCACGGTAGCGTGTGGCATTTAAAATGCAAAAAAAAATATATATACTCTGTATATCGCATAAGCGTTATCTCTAATTTATTGAGATTAAGGCGGGCTGATTAATTTAACGACGTAATTGATGCAGCCGCAAAAGCGCACGACTCCCGGACAACACAGATACGCACCCATACGGGTGCCCCGAGATACAGATACACAGATACGATCTCTTCTTCGTCAGAATTTGCCGATAGAAGTGCGACTTAGATTGGCGCAAACTATTCCCGAGCAAGGGGGCGCAAAAAGAGGGGGCGGGGCCACAGTATGCAAATTTGCGAGCGCACATGTAAATGAAGGCGATGCGGCGACGATGGAGCACTTCCTCAAGAAACCTCCAGAGATATGAGATACAGTATCTGAGAGATACAGAGCGAATACGATCCACACACATATACATACGCTTGAGCTCCACACACAGCCACTACACCACACCACGTGGTCTCCCCAAGTTCAGAAGAATCGTAGGCAAAGACGTAGAGCACAATAAATAGGCGAAAAAATAACGCAAAAGAAGAGCGCAAATAAAAAACCAGGGCTGACCGCAAAGAGAGACGAGTTTCAGTGTATAAGTTAGCGGTACACTGAGGGATTTTTTTTTTGTTTTAAATCTTTTTTTTTACTATGCTTGCA